TGATTCGGTGACTGGGGTAATCGGGATGGGTGTGTCAGAGGCAGTGCGGTTGGCGCAGGATAGAGCAGGGTTTAGGGCTGTTGTGCGTAGGGTCGCTATGAGTCACAAACGACTCGACGGCACATAACAACAACAACAATGTTCATGAGGGATGATGTTGCCATCGAGTCACCTATAACCCATAGCAACCCTATGTATAGCAGCTCTGAAGCCTGTCCTCTCCTGAATCAGTCTCACTGATTATGACACACCAATCCCATTGTCCCAGTTACTGTATCAATCCATCTCATTTGGAGTCTTCCTCCCCAGCACTGTCCCTCCACCCTTCCATCTATGATGTCCTTCTCCAAGGACTGATCTCTCCTGGCCACCTGCCCAAAGTATGTAAGACGGAGTTTCAAAATCCTAGCCTCCAAGGAGAAACTTGGTTTCACCCTCTCCAAGACAGACTATTAGTTTTCTTGGCAGTTCGAGACTCTTTCTGGTAAAACTCGAGGGATATTGATGTATAAGTTTCTTTTTTAATGATGCCTTTTCCTAACTTTGGTATAAGTGTTACACCTGCTTCATAGAATGAATTAAAGAATCTTCAACTTTTTACTATTTTCTGAAATAGTTTAAGTAGAATTGGTGTCTACTCTTCTCTGAAAATTTGATAGAATTCACAGGTGAAACAATGTCTCATTATACTTATTTTTAAAATTTAAATAAATTTAAATTTATTTTGCATTGGTTTGTTTCCAGTGTATTTCACACTATTCTTCATCATATGGTGTTTCATGCAATCATTTCCATTCCTTGTTTCATAAAATTACCCACCATTGGACTCTGCCCACATTACCCTGTCTTTTCAGATCTCTGCCAGATATTTCCCATTTCCATTACCACACACACACACACACACACAAATTTCTTTTTTTGTGGTAAATCTGTTCAAATATTGTCTTCTGTCTCTGTTAGTTTAGGTAAACAGTGAGTTTTTAAAATTTATCCATTTCCTCTAGGTTTTCAAATTTATTGAAGTATAATTCTTCATAGTATTGTATTACTGCATTTATTTCAGTGAAAATTTCTTTACTCACTTCACATATATATATATAACTACTAACAGAAAACCTTGAATCACAGAGCATTATTATGAAATACTAGTGTTGTTAAAAAATAACTGCTTGGCATGGAAAAAGTTAAAGCTTGGATTTTTTTTGTTTATAAATTTATTTCTTTATTCTTGGAATTTAAAGATTATAGCAGTATGTGTTGGATGTTTATTTACATTTTTCCTGCTTTTATTTTTCCCCTCACTATCTAGATGTTTATTTATCCTTTAGAACATTTTATTCAAACTCCTGTTTCGTTCTATGCTGAATTATAGAAGACCCAACATTACTCTACAGTATCTTCTTATTTATATACTTCTCTTTGTCTCTATTTTCCATAATTTGTTTCCTGCTTCATCCAGTCTGTAGAGGTTTCTTGAATTGAAATGATCATATTAGAGATTTGTGTGTATTTGGTGGGATTTTTAGCTGAAATAAGGGAAGAAAATTTTCCGTAACATTTCACTAGTACAGAGATCAAGCAGACTCAAGTTAGTTGGTCTACTTGAACTGAGAGCTGGGATTGGAGACAGATTTAGTCAGGAATGTGTCTTGCTAAAGAGCTTCTTGTCCTTACCAGGGACAGCAGTCAGGGCCAGCTGTCACAATATCCTGTCCTTTGGCTGGATTGGTGTCCACTGGGTAAGTGTGACTAGTAAGTTCTTCATGCTAACCTCCTGCTCTGTAAGGCCCAAGAAACCCAGACAGCTCCAGGGATGCTGTAAGATGCCAGGCCTGACCATCAGCCAAGCTTGCAGAGGGCTCTGCTCTTCTTTGTCTGTTTCTCTTTTACATGATGGATATTTACTAGCTCAGCAGGCACAATTATCCTTCTCATTTCATCTGTGCTTTACATCATTGAAATTCCTAGAAATTTCTGGTCTTTGTTGGCATTCTTGTCCATCTTGTAAGGCTGATAAAAATTCTTTTCTTCATTTTCTATTGGTCATTTTTTTCTAGATCAGGAGGAGAGTTGTTTTTACCTTGCCAAGAAAACACTCAAGGAGACAGATTGACACTATGATAGCAATGAGATTGAGCTGAGGGAAGGAGAGATTGTGAGGATGGTGTGCAATCAGGCAGAGTTCCTATCTGTTGTACACAGGTTGAACGGTGAATCAGAGTTAACTTGATGGCACTAATAAGAAGAAGCAATCTATTTGCTTCTGTGAATATCAGACAGAATATATTGAGATCATAAAAGTGGACATGGACTACATAAACCAAAGGGAAATAGAAACTTGACTGTAATCTCACATATTTTGTGGGAATTTTCATCATTTGGTTACCTATGATGATAAAAGATAATTGAATAACAGCAAATCATAACACTTGCCTTTTTGGATAACAACTATCTGTCACATATATCAATTTATAATTTGATTTAATCTTCTGTCTTTATTTGTGATGTGTGTGGAAGTTTATAAAGCAAATTGATTTTTTTATTAAAAAATCCATAAGCAGTGTTTCAGGACATTGATTACAGTACTCTTATTGTAATAACATTTTTTTTTCATCTGCTAGTTTATTTACAAGACTCAAACACAAATTCTTTCAATTTCTCTCACCCCCCATCAAATTGTACACCCAAATGATTAATGCCCCCCTCCCCCTGTCCACCCACATCCCTCTGCTTCCAGCCTCTCCTGGATCCTTATACTCATTCTACAATAATGGTTTTATACAATATTTATCCTTGTGTAACTGAGTTAGTTCACTCAGCATAATGCTCTCCAGTCCCTCCCAAGTTAGGTAATAATTTACAAAGTTATTGCTCCTGCATGCTGCATAGTATTCCATTGTGTGAATGTACCATAATTTCTCAGTCTATTCATTTGAGGTTGGACATTTGGACTGTTTCCATGTTCTTGTGGTGGTGAATAATGTTGCTATGAACATTGGTGTTCAAATCTAAGCTTCTAAGCTTGATCCTGGTTTTTCTCTTATGAATGTTATAGTTTTGGGCTTTACTCCCAGGTTTGTGATCCACTTTGAGTTGATTTTTGTGTATGGTGTCAGATGTGGATCCTGTTTTGGCTTTCTGCAGGTGAAAGTCCAGTTTTGCCAGCACCAGTGTAATAACATTTTATACTTTGTCCCTGTGTTTCCAGTTTTGATTCATTCTTTTATCCTGTCCTTTCCTGCTTTCTGAACCTTATCCCTGGACAAACTGGGCCATTTTTTATTTTGTATAGTTGATTGATCTAAGGAGTGTCTCTTGTTTGGCTTAAAGTTGAATCATGGATTTGATTTCAGTTCCAAACTTGCAGTGCAGTGTGACTAAAAACCTTAACCCCACAGGTTCTATCAGTTTCTTTGAGACCAGCAAGTCTGGTCCTTTTTTATAATTACTGTTTTGAATTTTTTTTTTTTTTTATGTTTTCCTCCCTCTCTATCAGGATCTTCCAATTGTGGTTCCTTTCAGAGCAGCCAGCAGTGATTACCAGCATCCAAGGTCTAGTGTTTCTGATCTTGGAGTCATAGAAACGGAATTCATCTTGCCATTAGTCCTATTGATTATTGGTCTTTTGATTGTCTTCAATTGTATTGCTCTGAATGCAGAGAGATAAATAGCTTCACCTTATCTGGCCACTTGCAAGCTTGTGAGACTCCAATTGCTACTGCCTAAAGTAGGATGTAGAATGTTGCATTTTCAAATCATGGTATGGATGGCCTCCCAGGACCAAAGACTCATTCACTCATTTAGTTTGGCTTTGATTGAGAAGTATTCAGAATTTTTCCTCTCATTTACTCCTTTATATACATGGATCTATTTGTAGCACATAGAAATATGTATGTAGAAATAGCATCTGCCAAACCTACAAAATAAATAGGTCTCATTTACCTACTAAGCCTATGCATTTATATTGCCTGTCTGCCTACTTTTCCACTTATAAGTTAATGTGTTTTATTAGTAATAATGCAGGACTGTAGATGTGATGAAATTTACCTTTATTGTCTGTAACTCATGGGCATCTCTCCATATCTTCTCATTCCTTAGTGATTTTGTGCAGATTACCTTTTTGCAGAAACATTGGAAACTTGTTAATTGCCTGTTCATTTTATAGATGACAGTGACTGAAGTTAAATAACTTACCTGGTGTCATCTAGAAAGATGCGTTGTGGTTCTAATTCAAATAATTTCTTCAAAATGTCTATTCTTCTTTGCAAATTGTTGAACAATCCAAAGAGTTGGCCATCTGAAATTTTGATGAAAATCTTTGCCACATGAAGTCCTTTTATTATTTTGTCCTATAAAAGGATTTATATTCCTTATATGTTGTTTTTAGGTGCCGTTGAGTTCCATATGACTCATAGTGACTCTGTGAACAACAAACCTGAACTCTATCCCATCCTGTGCCATCCTTGTAATCTCTGACAGCTCTCTCTAGTTATTTGAGGGTTTACATGTCTACTCCTATGTTGGAATATCCATATCTATTGCTACTGCTTAACAGTATCTTGAGTATAACAAAATTTGAATAGCTGCTTGGTCATGTTGCTGCTAGTTGTGATTTAATATATGCAATTACCATAACAACAACAAAAATAAAATGGGAATAGAAGCAATATAACTGATAACTTAGGAATCTCTGGGCGGGGGAATAAAAAGATAGCTAGGAAAGTTTGGGATTGGTTCATGCATTGTTGATGAGAACATTTTTATATTCTTCCTGTGCAACTTTTTGTCTCGCTCATTCCTTGGAGATGCAGTAGTCTGTGTCGTGTCTTGTTTGCATTTTCCTTTCAGATGTATCTTGGAACTAGTAAGAACATCCAATAATTGTAATTACTAGGATTTTTTTTTAAATTATTATCTTAACTTGGTTGTATCTATTTTGTTCTCATAGGTTAAGATCATTGGTCAAACAACTAGAGAGAGGAGAGGCTTCAGTGGTAGATCTGAAGAAGAACTTGGAATATGCAGCCACAGTACTTGAATCTGTATACATCGATGAAACCAGGTAAGCTAAAGACAAGAGAAGGCAAATTGGATGGTGGTTAATTTTTTGTTAAATGGCTTTTCTGTGAAATGGTTAATTTTCTGTTATATGTGGAATGGTTCACTTTCTATTATTTATGAAATGATTCATTTTCTATTAAATGACAGGTATGGAGTACGATTTACATTAGTTTCGGAGCCTTAGTTTCCACAATTAAACTGGGTAGATTATGAGAAGTCATTTGGCCTGTGTACATCTTCACTTATAAAAGGAGTTAACAGAATTTACCTTTTGGGCCCATTCTGACTATGAAATGCAATAATGTAAGAGAAGAACAACAAATTATTCTTTTGAGAACAAGAAATTTAAAATAAACATATGGTGAGAGATGTGTCTAATGAATAATTTCACTGCTACTGTTACATGTTGTTAGCCTCACCCTAAAAATTACACTCGCCTTTTAATTCAGAATGACCATCAGTCAGTAGAGACTCCTGAAGTGAATGATTAGTGTTTGTTCTCTTAAGCATCTGGTGTTTTCCCCTTACTCTTGGGGATGTTATTTCTCTTTTCATTTTAGCAGACTCTTCCCCCTGAATTATCCCAAAACATTAAAAGAGTTGCAATTGCTAAACACACTTAACAGACTTAGTGGCTTTTGAAAAAAAGTGCTGAAATGGCAAGTATAGAATATTTTACTTTTGTTCTGATTTGGATAGACTTATTTGTCTGTTATTTTAATAGTTTACATTTCTTTGCCAAACTTTAACCTGAAAATATTTTACTCTAATCTCAAGATTTTTTTTTTTAAATCTCAAGATTTTTTTATGGCTTGTTTTTCTCCTACACGTGTAGTTCATAATTTAAGGAGATTTGATGTCATAGTATTTTTCAGATAAACAGCCATTCCTTCCTCCAAAGTAATGTTCCTGAAACTATAAACAGAGTGAAAGTCTTTACAATAACATTTGCTTCTCTTGCTTACTTTTAGAAGGGTTAATGTAAATATACAATAGAGCTTTATGTTTTATTTTAACTAATTTATAACCCTTTATATTGATCTTCCCACAAAACAAGTTTGAAACATTAATTAAGCACAGTGTCAGATTAGTTAAATCTTTATATTCACATAAAAAATGAAAATTCTTTTCATTTAAAACTTTGTTTGTCTTTGTGGTTGCTGTTGTTATGTGTCTTTTGGTTGGAACAACTGATAGCTGACCCTCCAGCAGGTTTTCAGAGGAAGCTCTGGTGCCTGGTGGTAAGGAACTGCGCTGATGGCCAGTCTCCTATGTGATTAAAATGCTTCTCGGTAGGTTCCAATTCGATGATAAACAACAACAGCAATCACACAGAAGGAGATGGCCCATCCTTTTCTGGCAAAACAGCTGGTAGATTTGAACCACCTGCCTTTGGGTTGGCAACTTCTTACCCCTGGCTACATTAACATTTTTGTAACATCTTCTCAAGTAGAATAGGCTAGCCCTTGATATAATAAGGATCAACATGGCACAAGCCTGGGTACTTGTGATTTGGGTCATTCCATAAAAGTTTCACATTTTCTTGGAAAGTGAAAAGTACTGAGTGCTGCTGAGTACAGGTCCTTGGAACGGGAGAGAATATCTTAGACTCACCTCTTTGTTTCTCTCTCCTTCCTGGTAAAGAGGACCATCCCGAAAATAGCAATTTTATGTGTTTTCACAAACTTAGCAAAAAGGTACTGAGTATCTCATGTAAAACTAAAACCTGGTTTCCGTGTTTCTTTATATGTAGGTGGCACAGAGAGAAGCAGCTGCTGTTTCAAACAGAGCATTCTAGCTCCAGACTGAATCTCAATATTCTGCTTATCTGCTTATATTTCTTCTTTTCAGGCGGCTCCTGGATACTGAGGATGAACTCAGTGACATCCAGTCAGATGCTGTGCCGTCTGAGGTCCGAGACTGGCTGGCTTCCACCTTCACACGGCAGATGGGGATGATGCTCAGAAGGAGTGAGGAGAAGCCACGCTTCAAGAGCATCGTCCACGCGGTGCAGGCCGGGATATTTGTGGAGAGGTAAAGATGTCTGCCATTCCATGACCAAAGGAGCACAGGCTTTGAACTCTTTGATATCTTTTAAGTATCTTTTGTCTCTTTGTTATCTTTTAAATGCTGGAAATTCTGGGTAGAAATGATCTTAAATGAAAAAAAAAAACAGTTATTAAACTGTTACACCATCAGAACAAAGTTTTGCCTTTGCTAAAAAAAAAATTAAGAAGTAGAGATAGTTTACTTTGAGTTTAGTTTCTAGATTTTAGAGAAGGGCGTCATTCAATCAATCATTCATTAATGTGTACACATAATAGCTATATTCCGAGCAGTGCAGGATGCTTGGGGATTGCTGACGCAAGCCAGGCAGTTAATTTTACAAGGGCTGTGTTTCTGATGACACTTTTCAATTTTATCAGCCATCTTATTCTTTGGAATTGAATTACACCCTCTCCTTCCCCAGAAATAGATTGCATAAAATTATTATTCCAATAATCCCTGTTGCTCAAGTGTTCATGTATATATTCAGTCCTGAGTTCCCAATTCACCTAGGCCATTTGACAGTTCTAAAACATGTTCTTCTAAATGAACTACTCTTACAGAGTTCTTCATTTAGCTTAAAGTACCATACTTCTATACTGCACTATAATTCACTTCTGGTTTTAATCACTTAACATGCAACTCTGGGCACATAAATGTAATTGCTTTGTTCTTACAGGTTCGTGTATTTGAGGTTGCTTCAATTTATCTTTTATTTAGTACGTAGTCAGCTTGTGTGACTATGAAAAAGGTTAGAAAAGAAATGTCTAGTTCCTTGTGTCACTAGAAAATAAGCCTTCTAATTATTTAGTTTAAAGATAGGCTACTATTCTTTTTAAGAAATTACATTTGTTTTCTCATCTGACTTTGCCAGAATGTACAGACGAACATCAAATATGGTTGGACTGAGCTACCCACCAGCTGTTATTGAGGCTTTAAAGGTAATACCAATGAAAAGATTTTCAACTTTGCATGACACTCTATAAAAAGTACAATTAGATTTGTTGCTATAAAATAATGGACTTTTATGTACAGTACTTTACCTAATCTTCCTAATTTTCCTTTAGTTATCTCTTTTATCTGTTTGAACAGTGTGTCTATCTTCTCAGTGTTTTCCTAATTTTTTAAAATCACATCCTGAATTGGTTCACTTCTTTCTACTTTTTTGAGCAACATATCTCTCTCTGTCTCTGTGTGTGTGTGTGTGTGTGTGTATATATATATATATGAAAAGTTCTTGATGGTTTAGTGATAAGGAGTTGCTCTGCCAACTCAAAGGTAGGTGGTTCAAGTCTACCAGCTGCTCAGTGGCAGTAATTCCTTCTTTGCCATTTACAGCTTCTGAAAGCCTTCTGCTGAGTCAGCTATAAGATGGTTCTAACTCAATGGTAACGTTTTATATGAATAGATACAGATACAGATATAGCTGTATCTGTGTACACATACACACATGTAGATATAGATATATTGGAAGCAGGTGTGGCATCTACCTCGTAAATAACATGCCTCTGGAAACTATATGAACTTTGAGGAATGGCAATAGTTATAGAAATCTTTTGTTATGAGTTGTACTTGACTAGAAGGCAGTCAACAACAACAACATATATAGATAGAGATAGATATATGGGGGGAGAGAGAGATAATAGAGATAGATAGATAGTTAATAGGTGGATAAATAGATATTTCAGGTTTGTATCACAAGATAAAGTCCATTTTTGGTCATGAGAGATCTAATTCATTCTGACTAAGTATTTAACATTAAAGGTTCTTTGTTGACTGTAATATTATCTTTATTTGATCCTCTACTTTAAATCCATTTTATAGATAAGATTCAAGCAGATTAAAAACAAAGATACCATAGTACTTGTCAGGTATAGGGCTGGATTTAACTCTAGATTCTTGTCACATAATTTGCTGTCAATAACAGTTACTTCGTGAGTAAACTCCCAGAACCCTTGTCCTCTCCATTTAACCTCCTGTTTCTCCAAGCCTCTCAATGGACAAAAATATTTCATGGAGGGTGGCACAGGTATTTTCTTTTAAATGGACTGTATGCTAGACTCAGTGACTGGGGTAATGGTGGTTGGTGTGTCAGAGACAATAAAGTTGACAAAGAATGGAGCAGGGTTTACAACTGTCATACATAGGTTTGCTATGGGTCAGAAGCAACTTGATGGCACATAACAATAACAACATGCTACAGAAATACTCAGATTTGGGCAGATTCTTGGAGTGGTATATAGCTATCTCTAAGTGCCTCAAAGCCCAAATATTATTTTAGGCATGAGTTAGGTCAGTTCAGTTTTCTGAGTGTGTACCAGTGCATTTAAACCTGACTTGACTTCTGAGTTTGAGAGCAGGACCATTAATAAGGCTTAGATCCACTAGGCTAGTTGCCATTGCATGAGGTGGGCACATAGAATCAGGTCCTCTCACTCAAGGACAGCATCATACCTTTGCTAAAGTCATGGCTCTTTTATTTTGAGTGTTACCTGGTGATATTTTAGGGAAGCCCTGATGCTATAATTCCACGTGATTTGCTGTGATAATCCAAAGGCTACTTCTCTCTGTTGGTTCAAATTCCCTGGCAATTCCACAGGAACTGGCAGATCTCCTCCCGTTACTATTTACCGTGTCAGAAACCCAATAGAGGATTGCTCTGAGTTGAACCAACTTGATGACAGTGAGTTTAAGTTGATAATATTTTCAGAAGACAGTTTGTATGACTTACTCATGAAATCAAGGGTAGGAGGACTTTTTGATTCATTCATGTCAGGAAAAAGTCCTTTGGAGCCGTTTGATTATATATCCATAGTCCTTTCTCTCATCTTATGAGATGTTGTTGTTGTTATGTGCTGACGAGTCGTTTGCAACTCATAGCGACCCTATGTACAACAGCCTTAAACCCTGATCTATCCTGTGCCAATTTCATGTCCTCTGACACACACAATCCCGATTTCCCCAGTCACTGAATCAATCCACCTCATAGAAATATATGAGTAAATATAAAGTATAAATATAAATATATAATATGCACACATTTTCACTTCTCCATTTTATGTCTTTATATTTTCTGATTTTTTCTTTTTTCTTTATTAATTTTAATGAAAGCTAGGGGAGCTCTGGTGGCCTAGTGGCAAGGAGCTGCAACTACAATCACAGAGGCGAACGGTTCGAATCCACCAGATGCTCTGCCGAGTAAGGAGGGACAATCTCCTCCTGTACCAGTCAGATCTGACTTGACGGTACACGCACACAAAAATAATAAAATAAAATAAAAAAATGAAAGCTTACAGAGACTTAGGATTTCCAGTCATTCATTATTACACTTTTCTCCCTGCCCACCCCCCAAATCATTCTTTTTCTTTAGATTTTTTTTTCTTATATTAAGAGCAAAATGAGCTTGCAGAGCAAGAAGACACACTTGTTTTCCCCTGATGCTCTTTAACCTCACTCCAATGCATGATACATTAGTGTAATTTACTATGGCATTTCCCATATTAATCAGTGAAATCTTTCATGAGATCTGATGCTTCATAACAGTCAGTATGAAATTGCATTGATTTTTCATAATTGATTCTGAAACATTCAGTGAAAGCCTTAGAAGCGTTGCGACCACCTTTTACCTCTAATTTTTTTCTTTAGCATGAACATAAATACAGGTGTGTTTACAGATACCAAAGATGTCTGAAAATGTTTCTTTAAAGCTGATGCATCTTGTCTATGCAAAAGAACAGAAAGAAATGTAGAACAGGCTGTGATGCACTTGAACTGTAATTTTATGCTTAAGAAGAAGTAATTTACAGATGCAGACATGCTTTTTTGAGGAAAAAGATTAATTAGACTATTCACGCAAGGAATATATCAACTCTCTAAGTGGGTATCCTTCATATACTTGCTAAATCTGCTGTTTCTCCTGTAACTGTCCACTATTTCCTTGTAAAGTTCAAAATCATTTCAGAATCTAATATTTTTCCACATCTCCAGACTCTAAGTTTTATTTGCAGTGGGTTGGATGTGAGTCGGTGACATTATATAGATAGATTTTTTTTCTTTTTTTTAATGTAGTGCCTATTAGAGAAAGGTAATTTCTACTTCACTGCCAACAGTTTATATGGAATCACTACTTTTTAATCTGCTGTAGAAATGTTGCCCAAATACTAAGAGTACAATTTAATAAAAAAAGCCTCAGATACTGTCATATTAACCTTTGTGATTAACACAAGAACAAGACATAAACTTACATTTAAGGAAGAAAATAGCCATTCCAGATATGTAAGTTTGAAAAGCATTGTACTTTTGTTCTTTTTCCCCCCCCCTTTTGATGTATGCTAGCTTCTTTTGGGAGAATATTTTCTTTCTGTCTTCTGATGTATGTGTATTAGAAGCAGAATAGTATGTTCTTGAGGAGAGAATTTATTCTGTGACTCATGAGCACATTGATTATACAGACTACACGTTAAAACCAGCGAAGAGTTTCAGATGGTTTTTTAATGTGAGCTTCATGACTAGTTTCTGGTGCATTTTAAAAAGTACACCTGTTGCAAACCATGGTGTTTTCAGTTGTTTTATTTGCATTTGAAAGTTGGACAATGAATAAAGAAGACTGAAAAACAATTGATACCTTTGGATTATGGTGTTGTTGAAGAGCATTTAATGGACCACCAAAAGAACTAACTGATCTTGAAGTGTGGCCAGGGTGCCCCTTAGAAGAAAGGATGGTGAAATTCTTGCATACTTTGGGCATGAGGTAGAAAGGACCTGTTCTTGAGAAAAGACACCATATTGGAGAAAGTGGAGGGTCAGAGAAAGAAAGGAAGATCCTCCAGGATATGCGTTGACATAGTGGCCATAATAATGGGCTTGAGTGTATCAGAGATTGTGGGTATGATGCAGGATATGACAGAGTTCTAGCTAGTTATCCAGAGAGTCAATACGAGTTATGGAGGACTCAACAGCACCTAACAACAACATACAGATCTGATGTATTTTCTTCATAAGACAAAACATGATCTTGTGAGAAGTTTGGCTTTAAGCAATTCAAGTAAGTTCTTGGGAAAATGCAGATTCCTGCTGTGCCACCAAGATTCTGTGGAGTCCACTAACCTAGAATCAGCATTTTCTGTGATCATCCCAAGAGGTTCTGAAGAACATCAAATATTGAGAATCACATTTAGGTCTTCCCTAAAATAAGGGTCAAAGATGCAAAGGGCACCATTCTCATAGCCTACATTTCCTCGTGCTCCAAAGTTTCCAAATTCTCATAGTCAGAGTTAAATGTAGTTCCCCTCCAATACACTGTGGTCCTTTCTCTATCCCCAGTGATAAAGAACCTTTCTCTTTCTTATTCTTTTTGTATTACAGGAATAAACATTGCCAGACATGACAGAAAGTGTTTTCAGCCCACTTAGTTGTCAGTGGACTTTTACTTAGAACTTTGGTTCGAAGAGATGAGGGTTCATAACAAATGCCAGTTTGTAATATTCAACATGAAAGTTTTTAAGTCTCGGGTTAATTGTTAGTGACCTCATTGTTAAGAGCTTGAGCCCTTGCAGGATGTTTGAAGGATAAGACCTGGTCACAGTGTAGACACATACACTCATGGAGTTTATTTACTATGTAAACTGCTGTCTGTGAGATCATGAGAGAGTAGCGGTGGGCCTCTTAAATAGTTCTTCTGTCATGTAGTTAAAACTTCATCTCTCTGAGTTTGACATCTATAAAACTAAGGGAAAGTAGCACATATTTCTCAGGAGCCCTTGTAATGTAATGGGTAAGTGCTCACTTGCTAACCAAAAGGTCTGTGAGTTGAACCCACTGGTGGTTTTGCAGAAGAACTTGCATCTTTCCCTGTCAGGATTACAGCCTAGGAAATTTGATGGAGACATTTACTCTATCTGTAGGGCTGTTATGAGTTGATACTGACACAATGGCACAGGATACCATAGCCTGTTTTTAGAGTTACGAGATCTTAAGAGGCTATGTAAGCATTTTACCTTGTGCCAGGCACAGAGATAGTACTCAACCATTTTGAGTATTTCTTAGATATGGTAAATGGAAGGGGCATTCTTGAAGGCCAAGGAGAAATATGAATTCAATAAACCCCATTCAAATAAAAACCCTTTTAGAAAAGCTTGTTTTTTCCTAAAATGTAAGTCAGAATTGACCAAGTCAAAGGCTCAGTTGTAAATGTTTTCATTTGGAGAATATGACTTATAACACCCTCCACATAGGATAGTCTTCAGATGAAATTAGGCACTTATCACGGTCACAATGCCTAGTGTACGGAAAGTGTTCAACAAACTTTATTATTACTTAATAGTTTTAGTTGTGCTGTTGATTGCCTTTGAGTCAAGCACGACTCATAGTGATCCTATGAACAAAAGACCTGAAACCTTTCTATAACTATCGACATCTATCAAAGTTCATAAAGTTTCCAGAGGTGTGTTATTTAGGAAGTGGATGCCACTCTAATTAATATTTCAACTGTAAACACTGCATAGGACTGCAATGAGGTTGGGTAGGCTTTAGGATTCTGGTCTTGTGCTATACAATCTTAACTGAGGGCTACATGACCCACCCCAGCATTGGGATTTTCATGCCTCTCGGAGCAGCTGTGGACTGATGGCATATTTTATCCTCACCTTGCCCTGCAGGATGTGGACAAGTGGTCCTTTGATGTCTTTTCCCTCAATGAGGCCAGTGGGGATCATGCACTGAAATTCATCTTCTATGAATTACTTACACGTTATGACCTGATCAGCCGTTTCAAGGTGAGTGAGTAAGGGAAAACTGGGTTTCATTTCTTCTCAGCCAAAATTTAAGAGCACATAAAAAATAGTAATAAGCTGCACACATTTGTCCATCCTTGTATGACACTTGAGCCAAAACCAAAAAGATGCCTTTTCATCTCAGAGCACTGTGCTCTGTGACTTGAGACCCATGCTTGGGACAGCTACTCTGGGAATTCTGTGTGGTGGAAACTAGTTATTATTTAAGTGTAAAAAAAAAAAAAGGAAAGAAATCCAGTGCAAATGAGTTTTCCACCCTCTGTTGGGTGTCCAAGGCTTTTAATCGTTATGGAGGAAATTGTTCATCTTTCTCCTGAAGATGGAAGGTTGGAAGATTCAAACTGCCAACCTTTCTGTTAGCTGTCCAGTACATTATACACCAGGCCAACCAGGGTTAAGCCCATATAGAGGCCCATTCAGAAGTTTTGTTTCTTCCGAGAAATACAATGCAAAGTCTGAAATCACAGAACTCGCCAAGAGCTTTGCCTGCAGATTTCATTTTAGTACAATGTTTTATCCTCTTGACCATTGAGAGAAACAGCAATGGAGACAGAGCGGGTACCTGCTGCCTGCAGATATTTGTCCCCCACCATTTGCCTCATTCAGACAGATACTCACACCTATCTTCTGTGACAGATCATTAGTATTTCCCAGTCCTTCATACCTCAAATTAATTCTTCAGCTTTAAGGAGAGAGTATACATCTTTTCCAGCTTTCCGTTCCCTGGGCCTTTGAATATCATAGACTCTAGATATCAAGCCAGGTCTTCAAGGGAACCTAGATTCATCTGCCAACATTTTTTATACCTATAACTTGCACTTCTCTAAGGAGATGGATGAGTCTGTGGAAGGTAAAGGTCGTTTTCAGACCAGCATATCATTTTTTTTTCTAGACATCATGGTTCATTATCCCTTTCTGAAGGATTACATATTTGGGGCTATTTTTCTTATATGACCATAAATTGTTTAGGTCAATTAACCAACCAGTTGCCATCGAGTCATTTCTAACCCAGGGCACCCCCATATATGTCAGCATGAAACTGTGTGACATAGAGATTTTAGTGACTGATTTTTCACAAGGAGATAACCAAACCTTTCTTCTTAGGCATCTCTAAAAGGACTCGGCCTTAACTTTTTGGTTAGCCACTGATTACATTAATGATCTGTATCATCCACGGATTCTTTTTTCACATTAAATTTGTATGAGAAACCAATGGAAGGTTGGGACCTTCTTGTAGAACAAATCTGTCCGTGCATACTCACCTTTTCCTGGCCTGTCAGAGGCTAGAAAGACCCGTGAAGAACAACCCAAAAGTCACAGGTTCGTTGGATGGATCTTTGTTTTAAAAAATGAAGGTGCTTTGAACTCTGACCTCTAAAATGGCACAATTTTAAAAAAAAAAATATAAATCTCAGATTATAAACATGGAAGAATATGCTCAAGGAAGAACCTAGGATAGAATTTCATGGCATGCCACCAAAGCTTTTCCTCATCCTTTCTTGCTGATGTGCTTGATAGTTTCCTGGGATGCGTACTTCTCCCTGTTGTATTTAATAATGTACTCTAAACCATGAAGTTGTTCCTGAAGACTAATGATGAAATGTCATCTGGGTGCTTTTATTTCATACGGATATTTTACCATTGTTCTTCACTTCCTGTTGTTGTTGTTGTTGTT